ACGTGTGATAAATGTAGTGAAATCTTTTGTTGTGTAGGATCATACATGCACAGGAGACTCGGCAGCAAAATTATTTAGAGAAGCCAAAAATCTATGATTGTGTTTATTTGTATGTGATGCCAATTATTACTACTCTAATTAACATGTTAACAATCATTAAAACGTTTCTTTGTCAAAGGTTTTCTGCATCATTAAATTTTATCAACTATTGCTACATAGATTTTAATAATGCTTTTTACTGTTTTATAGGAAAAATGTTTGCTTTCTTGGCATCACTGGAGGCATTTGCACCGATCGTAGCAACACTGGTGTTCAATAATCTGTATCCTGTAACACTCCACTTCATGCCTGGATTCTGCTATATTGTCTGTGCGCTACTGTGCCTCATAACCATAATAATTGCAATGTACGTTTTTTATTGTCATAAGTAGTTTCAGTCACAAACTTTAAATTGGATTTTTAAATAGGAAATTATCACTTTGTATCTTAAAGCTATTTTTTTATACATATTGAGGTAGATATGTAACCAATTTTACAAAAATTCTTATTGAACAGAAATGTATCTATTACAAATAATTTCATGTTATTTATATTATTATAAGTTGCTCGTAATTATATAATATAAGTGTAATGATATTTCCACCAGATGGCTCTACATGGACATGAAGGCTGAGCCAGAGTATGACATTATGGAGGAAGAAGACAGGGGGAATGAAGCAATTGGAAAAGATGATGGTATAGAAAATGGGGCAGACGCGAGTGTATGTAATGCACCCTCAATCCAAGATGCAGGTATTACGCATGCAGTAGTACTAGTAGCACACGAGAGGTCTAATCTTTCCAGTGGAGGTCCATCATACGATGCAATGAATGGCATGCCAGATGTGTACTAGTGCATTCTATCAACTGCATGGCTGGACTAGACTTTTTTCTGAGTGAGTGTTGGCTTTGTATCTGCTAACAGTAACATGTTTTTATGATAATTTCAATACGTTTATAGTATTTCCGCTTGATTACTTGTAGTTGTAGCCTTTAATACAGACTTGCATGATGATTAAAGGGATAGTAGACTCTGGGATTTNCTTCTTGAAGCAATGGCAATTGCAGATGCTATTGTCAGGCATTTTGATTACCTTCGTGATTACATACTGCTGCTGCAGGATAGTATCCAAGAACACCTTCTAAAGCGTACGGAGAGTGATGGATCAAAGATGGACATTAAACTTGTATTAACAGACTTCTCGCAAAAGCTACGAGAGCTACCACATTCACAGGTCCCCGAGGTGCAGCTTTCACAGCAGCAGCTTGCATCTGCCACTAGTCCATTCAATAGACTCGGTTCGCGTGCTAGTAATGATCTAGTTTCTGCTGTTCGGGACGTTGTGAGGACTGGAGATTACGACATTGAACTGTTCACTGAATTAAATCCAAACGCGATACATGAGTATTTCTTGCAAGATGCTGCACAAGTTAAGCACCGGGGAGTGTTTCAGCAGAGCGCTCAAGCAGAAAGTAAGGCAGACCAGTCTCTGAGATGCCGGCCCAAGAGGCCTCGTTCTTCTAGTTCACTCAAATCAAAGAATACAAAGGATGGAGACATTCTCAATGGAGAATGCGACTCGAGTGTGATTGCTAGCAGTACAGCCAAACGTTCACATCAGTTGATCATCAGGCCAGGTGCAGAAACGAGAAAGGACTTGACTGCGATGGATATGTCCTCTCAGAATTTAATAGCACCAGTGAAAGATCAGCCATTGACTGCATCATCGATGCTGTTTGGTCCTGGAGGCGCAGCATCTGGACGAAGACTGCCACCCCCGATAAAACTGGGACAGGAACCACAGCTGCAGTTTATTACCAGCAATGATTCTACACCTGCGCAGGATGCAACGGAAATGGCTTCCGCTACCAATTCATCACAAAATGGCAACGTCCCTCTGGTTCCTGCTGGGAAAGCAACTCCAGTGCCCCCTGCTAGGTTTATGTCGAGCGTGTCGCCTGCTATCTCACCAATGCAACAGGTTGTGGGGACCTCACCAAAGATGGATCACGAAGAACCGGCACAGATGTGGCCACGAGTAATACCGCACACCCTACCTTCGTCCCAGGGCCCTGCGGCATCGTCTCGTAACCCACGACAAAGTCACAGACGAAAAACCGCCGACGACCCCGCATCGTCTTCAGACGTTTGCGTCGCGGAGACTAAGAAGCGAGTGCCGGCAGTTGTCACCGAAAATGTTAAAATAAACGAGGTTGCGAATAACTGCAGTTCGTTCTCGGAAAATAAGAGCAACGCTAGCGATGTTGCCAGTGAAAACGCCTCGACGTGTCTGGCTGCCATGGGAGAATTCTGTGACAATATCGACGACTTTGACGACTCGTGCGACATAGAATCTACGTTAGAAACTATCGCCGAGCAGCTGATATCTACGAATGCCGAAGCAAACAAGGAGANGTGTGTTGTGTGTGTGTGTGTGTGTGTGTGTGTGTTGTGTGGTGTGTGTGTGTGTATGTGTGTGTGTGTGTGTGCGTGCGTGTGTGTGTGTGTGTGTGTGTGCGTGCGCTTGTGCGTGCGTGCGCATGTGTGTAGGGTTGATGAGGGTTAGGGTAGAGAATGGTGGTAAATAGAGGATTGATATGAGAGCGGTATTACCGAGTGTATCGCATGATTAATATTATGAACGACTGGCAACACGCCTTGACTTGAACAATATACACCACCCCACCCTAAGTACATAAAATAAACAAGTAACACGCACGTTTTTGGTTTGGAGGAATGAACATTTTCCGCAGATTTTAATGTTAGCTTGCAAAAACAACTATTGCATAATCAGTTGTTACGTACAAGAACAATTAGATAATTGGTAGATATGGCATGTTTCTGCGGAAAATCACTCATACTACACTACATTTATTTTTATTTTTTGTTTGGGAACTACACTCATAATACACTAACTTATACACCCACACAGATACATCAGAAACCTTGGAACAAAGTAAGGGACGGATATGATGAACTGGTAGCCACGGGGTAGGGAGGGAGGGGCGCCAAAATAAAAATTTGTGTACGCAAACAAAGACAGGTGTTGATGCTGCGACCAAAATATTCGAATGCACCGTAGGGCAAAGCGAGAGTGACGCTACCATGCCGAAATCTGATTGCCTGTGGTAGGTCAAACCACCGCTGTGATTGGTGCGCAGAGGAAAACAAGTTGCAGCGCCCCCTGACGTGAACGGGGGAATACGTATGTGCGGAATACGCATGCGTGGCTGACCAGCTCTGTACAAGGTTTGTAAACATTGGCGATATCAACGATACTATTAATAACACATTAAACAAACATTTAATGTTTACGTTACCACACAAAAGTGAACCCCTCTCTCGCGCTCTCTCTCTCTCTCTCTCTCTCTCTCTCTCTCTCTCTCT